TTTTCTTTCTTGTTTTATGTTTTATTGATTGCATCTTCTTCTAGGGCCTTCAAATTGTAGGCAAAGAAAAGCTCAGTCCATGGGAGGTCATCGAAGGCTACAACAAGGAAAACGTCGGTCTGAAGTGGAGCTGGTTCCAGGCGGTCAAAGTCGACATGCAGCCAGAGACCATCATCCAGCAGTTGACGCGGATGTTGCCTCATGACCATTATAAAGCGTTCAAACGACCGCCGATGCCTGGCGAGAATCGTCCCGATCCGTTCCTAGAAAGCCTGCAGGTGCACTACGTCCGAATGTCCGATGCACCGGAAGCGGTGGCGGCGACTACGGCAGCGGCTGTGACGACGGTCGAGAAGGCCGAAGTCAAAAAGGAAAAAGTAATCTGTGCATCGAATTCTATTCGCAAAGAACTTACCGAGCGTAATCAGTCTCCAAGAACCACGAAGAGCGGGACGACTCGCAGGAAGAGTACCCGAGGGTCACGTAAAAGTAGCCGAAGTACACTAACATCCAGTGTGGCTTCGGTAAGCCAGCTTTTGCTCTCTCGATTACGTTTATTTGTCCATTACTCACCTCATTGTTTGTCCTCTTAAGAACGTTTTTCCCGGTCGCTCAGTGAACTACGCACAGCTGACCGCTGCTGGAAATTCGATGCCCTTTGGCTACTCGACTCAGCCGTTACCGATGAACCCTTCTCTGCCGCCGACTAATCCGTACGGTAATCAGATGTGGCCGGTAGGAATGCAGAACCCACAGTCGCAGATGGTTCTGCAGGCTCCGCCGCAGATGACGCAGTACCATCCACGTGGATATGCAGGAGTAATGGATCAGACTGGTGAGTGACGTCCAAGTTTACACTGTACTGAACGAGTTTCGCCTTGCCCGCCTTTCACGAATCCGTTTTAACATGAAGTGAGTCTCGTAATTTTAAGGTTCCAGGAGTCATCGATACGAAATGAAGGCATATTAAAGAAAGTTCTAAAGTTAATATTTGAACAAGGTCATGAATGAATATCGGTTTTCAGCTACGGGAAAATTCTACACAAACTGAATAGTATAAGAAGCGGCGAATAGCGGGCAAAACTTTATACAGTACTGTGTACATAGTGATATGTAAAAGCTCTAGATTTTTGAAGCCTGTCTCAATTCAGGGAAACATGCATATGGTAGTCTTTACTATAATTGACGACGTTTTCGCCCGACTGCCGTCACTTTTTACCATGAGGATGGCCAATATAGTTTGACCAAGAGTCGAATGCTAAAGATTGCCATATGTCTACTTCGTTTTGTCGAGAACTTATGAAGTGCAATTTGTAGAACTATACTTTCTTTAAATTTTCTACTGTTCTTGAGTGAGAAACTTGAAATTGCTATTGAATTGGCAGCTGAAGCAATTAAAATGGGTGAATGCTCACAGCCCGAAACATTAAAAGAAAGCTGCAGACGTTACCTAAAAATAACTACATTTCTTGCCCGAATTTGGAGCTGATCTTTTATGGTGCGCACTTCTAACACTGTGTAAAAAGCATTCGATTTTGCTGAAACTGCATTAACTTCTGTCTGCTGTCGTAAGCATAATCGTTGTTCTGTTTCTGATCGCTTGATTCATTTAGACCATCAGCATATAGCTGTTTACTGAATGCAAGGTAAGTTCAATTTGATATACATCATAAAGCAAAAAAAGAGGGCATTCAGAAGCTAAGGTTCCGTTTCCAGTAATGTATGATGTAGTATTTCTCATAAGAGGATTATCTTCAGTCAGCGTTTTTCTCAGGATATAGTAAAGCACTCTCCTGACTTTAGGCTGATTACATATTGGCCAGCAAAGCTGTTTACGGGGAGGACGGAGTGGCGGTTGAGTCAGTCTAAATGATGACCTGAACCGCTGGACAAAATTTACTTGTCAGATTTGAGACCCTTTCACTAAAGAAATCTTGAGTATGCGCAGGTGTTTCTTCAATCCACGATTTGAAACTGCAGCCACGTGTAGGATAATTTAGGAATAAATGGCTTTTTGCTACGTTCCATCTTCACGAATCCGCTCTATTTCCTGATATGCCTGTTCGGTCGATGCGTCGGATCAGTGTTATATAATTTTTTCGTTCTTACGTGCTGCTAACTATGTAATCAGAAGACGTTCTCGTTTCCCACCATCCACGGCATGGTTTCGGTATGAGATTAAGAAGTTGTAACAGTCATCGTAATTTCAGTGAGATTAGCAATCATGTTGACGATGAGTATAGACATCATGTTAACAAATATTGTATGGATGGTCATTATTACGTTAATGGTCGTGATGATTATGGTAATGAATGCAACATCGCGATTATGATTATTATGATTTTGTTGAAAATTATCATAAAAATAATGATCAATGTTTACTTTTTTCCGTTTATATTGATACCAGTTTGAATCGGCGTAAGCACCATCCCCTTGTTTTTATTGGCCTAGGGGATTATTTAAGCTACGGCTCCATAATATATGAGTACCTGCAGTGCATCGATGCAAAACCGCATCACTATGCAGGGCCGAACGAGGTCCTGTTCGGACACCTGCAAATATGCCACTACCCATGGGCTTGTTTATACAGAAAAATATAGCCCGATCTTATGGGTTTACTAGAATACTGCTAGTTATCGATACCGCCGTTGAGATTTAATCGTTTTCAGCTTACTGTTTACAGCGTTTACTTTGTTGATGGGTTTGCACCTTATTATCACATATAATAGTCAGCTCTCAGGGTATTAGAGCGAATTTCAGCCCAGCGAGTCGCTCGCATCAGAGAAGTCGTGACCTGCTGTCCGTTTCTCTGGTGGTTACCCAACGCAACAGTAATATAATAATGACACTTCTTTGCTCAAGGAAATTGGCGGTTAAGACAAATTCATCCTTTCTCGGGATTCGCACCTTGCACCTTTATACTTCGAAATTATGCACTTATACTGTGCTGTCGCCCCTGGCACCTGTTATTACGATGATGTCCTTATCTCTGCAGTCATTTTTATGATTACCTTTGTCGCGGTAATCTTCATGACGAATCGCATCATAATTATTATCATGATAATTATTATTGCGCTGATGAAGTGGATTATGATAACTGCGACGACCACCGAAATAGCAAGAGGTGATCATGATCATTGTGGCCATCATCATGATTTTCGATGTCATTTTTGCTGTAATTATCATGTTTGCCATCATTATCGAGATGATGGCGGGAACGTAATGGTGGTTTACTGTTTCCGAATGTATAAACCTTGCCTAATTTGTATTGTATACAGATTTGTTATCTATAACGTATTGCATATTCTTGTCTGACGGTTTCTGAAAATATAGTCCATTTAATGCTCTTCTAGCTCAAAGCGGGAAACAGGCGATATCGGCCATGATTAGAGGGCGGCATCCAAGTGGTTCTAACCCGCAGACGATGATGATGCAAAACACTCCGGGAGGGATGATGGTAGCGACCCCCCAAAACTATCAGCAGACGTTGGAGCCGTACAATACGTCGATGCAGCAAGTGAATATGCAGATGGACGTAAGTATCTTAAATGTCTTGATCATGGCTAACTTATGGTTTTGGTCGTTTAGCCTCACCGACAGCAGATGGTGCAAGAAAATCTAATGGAACAACAACTGCGTCCTCCTCTGAACCGGACAATTTCCGGCGGAGCTGCCGGGCAGCACATGCAGCAGCTTCCACCGCCATCACATAACATGTCTAGCAACAGTAAGCAGGCGACCCAGAGCTTCCCGTGTCAGTGTTAGTATAAATTCCGTTCAATTTCAGTGCCTCCGCCCGGTTACAATAACTATCAGGGCAACGCTGTTGGTCAGTTGCACCTTTCGCCGCGCAACGGCTATGCGCCTCCGCAGCCACAGTCATTCTCACAGTCCCCGCACTTCAACGGACAGTTTTATCAAAACGGTGCCCCTCAGCAAGTCGTCAGTCGACCTCAGCCAGAGATAGTCGTTCAGGGAATGAGGTCAGCTTCTGAATTACTTTTTATTTCATGTCGAAAACTAATTGGTCGTGCGCCTTCATAAAAATAATTTCATCCGATTTATGTAATTATGTGCACAACAACACAGATAAAGAATATTTTTCATATTTAACTACTGCTGTTGTGTTGAT